TTAAAATTGCGATAGCGCTTGTGAATTCTATATTTACGGCTAAAGTCAAGGGCCAAGGAACGGAAATTCTGTGATCTCGTCTGGTAACATCAATGACAAAAGAGAGATAGATAAATCTGGTAATTACACAAAGGAAAACTGATGGTGTACAAGTCGACTCAAAAGGCACAAACATAACCTATGCCAGACTGCTAACTCGACAGTGGAGGATCGTAAACGCGATATTTTCATTAAGAATTAAAGTCCAGTGTTTACGTGGCAGTTTCGCTTTTGCATGGCTAAAAAACTAAAAAAACGCCACGGCCTAGCGTAAAATGTTGATGTAGGAGAGGTTAGTCGAAAAACCGATTAAAATGATTATTACGATCGAGTAAAAGCTCCATTAAGCAGTAGTGTTTACAATTACAACCACCTACCACCCCTCCTTGAGTAATAACACTCTTCCCCCACCCCTCCCTCAGTACTTGCCGACTGCACCCACCCCTTCCTGAGTACTAAAGGTGTGCCTCTCCCCTTGTAAAATGGTCCAAAAAATCGTCCAAAAAATCGTCCAAAAAATAGTCCAAAAAATAGTCTAAAAAAATAGTCCACTCCAGTCTATATTTTACCTTATGCCAACCAGTGGGTCCATTGTTTGCTAAACACGTCAGTAGGTGGCAGAGTTCTTTACGCTGCCCAAGAGCGACCAAACACGGCGAAAATTGTACTTTCAGACGTCTCCTTTGTATCATGGTTAATCGTAATATTTCTCGAAGATGCATCCAGGCAGTTATTTAAAATTTTGGCCAAAAGGAGGGGTACTTATTAGAAAGAGGGCGCTTTATTGGGGGAGGGGGAGGGGGGCGATTATTATTCTCCTGTAGTGACTCCGCTGTGGCTCAAGCTTAAAAAGTCATAAGTTAAGCGAAATAGGAACAATTTTTACCGTATCCTTACTGATTAAAATGTGGGGAAGGAGATGGGCGCTTATTCGAGATAAGGGGGGAACGCGCTTGTTTGACATTATGGTTTAGGGGTGGCGATTATACTGGTGAGGGCGCTCATCAGAACGTAGGCGCTTAGTTGAGGAAGTACAATATATATTACTTGTACCCTTTTTCCAAGCAGGCATCATCTCATTTAAGACATCTGATGGTGTCTTGTGTTTGGTTCAGTGAACATTTAGTTTCAAGACTACTCCACTATATTTAAATTCTTATTTAATGGAAAAAAATCATACTTAATTAAGTTTGAGTTACAAATCTTAATTCTGTTTTATTGTCTTACTGGGTGGTGTTTCTAGCGTGGCGCCTCGGCGTTATTTTTTATTATTATTATTTATCCGTATTTATTTAATGATTCAAATATTTATTTGCCTATTATTTATTATATTTGAATAATCATTATTCAAATATAATAAATAATAAACAATTTACGACGGGTCATAAATGATTTATGACCTGCCATTATTCAGTTGTCGTGATTATATACATTTTAACCGTTGTGGAGAAAATGTCGCAAAAGGAAGTTCTTGCGTTGGACTTATTTTTGTACAGACTTGGTATTACGTATACTAAAATTCTTTACAAATGCTTTTATCTTGCATTAGGGGACTGGTTCGCAAATCTTAATTGTAATAATTGAGCAATGGACTGCAATTTCTATCAGTTTATGCGTGGATCCATCCCAAGTTTCAATTTTCCCCCTCTCGGGCAACCCCCTGGCATTAAAAAGCTGGGTCGTTCAAATTTCTTTCTCCCTCGGGCCAAAATTGTGTTCAAATACTTAACTATTGTTAAACGATTCTTTGTGAGGTCAACGAATGTTATAGAATTTAGCAAAGTCACGTTTTAGTTTCTGGAGTTGCTGTTGGATTGTTCGCTTGTAAGCATCAATTCATGATGTGAGAACTTTCCGATTAAGCCATTGGTTCACGGAAGCAGACTATTTACCGTTTACGTTTACGATGCTGGAAAGAATTGATACTTTCAGTTCGAACTCCCCACCCCTCCTTGGGCACGGATGAAAGTTAATGCCCTTGGTTTTCCCACGGGGATGTGGAAGCTTCGAATAGATCGGTGCATAACCAGCTTAAGGACTCACGTGGGATGTTGGAATAGCAAGAAAAGTTTCTAAATCACGAGCCGGAGGCGAGTGATTATTAACAAACTTCAAACTTCCCGCATGGATTATTACGTCAGTAAACCGATAGAAATGACAGTCTATTTCTTTTATAAATTAAACTTTCCAAAAAAAACATAGTCTGTTTCAATTTTTAGGGGTTTACCCAAGAGGAGATGATTATCTTGATAGAAACGGCGGTCTCTTTCTTTTATAAATTAAGCTTTACAAAAAAAAAAAACTTGTCTGTTTCAATTTTTTAGGGATTTACCCAAGAGAAGATAACTATCTTGGTTTATCTGTGCAATAGACGATAGGGTTTTAACCAATCAGAGTGCTTGTACTCGTAGTATCTCAGTTATCTTATATAGTTGAATGAACGTGAATCCGTGTACAGCCAATGAAATAACCATCCCTACCTTAAAAGGTTTCCTTACAAACAAAGTATAGTACAGTGGTAATGGATGGTTAATTAAACAAAAATTTTCGAATAATACATACAGAAAGATTAAAAGCATCGTGGAAAACACAAAATGGCAGTTGATGACCGAATTAGACTAAAATCAAGACCAACCCCATGCACTTTTTTCCTGCAGTTTGCATCACGATAAATAACAATTACATCGAAAGAAAGTAGATTGAAGATCAACTCCATAATTTTTTTTGACTCCAGAAAATTCATTTACCAACCTAAACTTTAAGGCAAAGTTGAAAAACATACTTCAATCAAACGTGTCATTTCAACTGCCCCGGTACTACTCTGCCCAAAATTTTGCTTCTATCACCCCCTTGATGACCGCCATCTTGAGTAAAGACGATGAACAGTATCTATTCACTGATTTCTGATATAGTTTTCGGTACATACTACGATCAATAACGAGCAAACGGCGAACATTTCGAAGTTAGTACGAAAATCCTCAATTTCTGAAATGGTCGATGTGTTGTGACGTCAAGGGGTTATCAAATTTGATAACCATCCCGGACTGGTAGTTGGGAAGAAAAAAATCAGTGAGTTACAGCTTAAGTTGGGTACCCTTAAGAGCATGGAGGAATAACGCCAGTTTTTTAGTTTTACAACGTTTATCATGGCAACATAGAATCTATTTTTCGAGTGGAACGCAAGCGATCTATAGTCTGCTTTGTAAGTTCTCACTCGAGCGTTTGTTGAAAGAAGGGGGAGGGGATGGAAAGATGATAAAGGACTTTTTCTTTCAGTACCCCCACCTCCCCTCCCTCGTTCTTTGCGAGTTTCAGCTAAGGTCATACATGGATTGAAAGAGTTTCAGTTACTGCACCAAAATATATCCCATAGCTTTGATGTGTCTGTGACCATTATCTGGGGAATGAGTTGCTGCGTTTCCACACGTATTAGAGTTATCAGAGTTCCCCCCTGTACCAAAACCAATTCTGGAATCACACGTACCACAGTCGTTTTGCTGATTAGCGATATAACCAATTCTTGCTTTAGAAAAATCTTTTCGGTCGCCCACAGCATTGAAGCCTTCTATGTTGCAGTTCAGTTGCAAAGAGCCCTCCACGCCAATCAACTTCTTCCACTCTTTACGACCCAGTGAGGTGGAGCGGTATGTACCATCAGCGATCAGTGAGTGCAGAGAGTTTGCCTTCCTATTAAAGGCAATAAACCTGAGCTGTCCACTTATCTTCATACCGAGACAAATCTTAGAGAAAGGTGTGTTCCAATAGGTCGGTAACTTGGTCTCTTGTGAGTCAAACCCAGACCTTCCGCCGGGGACGTTGTATTCGTTTTCATCACTCCAGTAGTGAGAATCATAGTGAAACGTTGCCTATATATAATTAAGAGGATATAATTAACTTATAAATTATTTATAAGTTATTTATAATTTATTTATACGGTAGAACGATGCACCACCAAATGCACGACCCGCATGAAATCAGCACCACAGTTAGCGTGAGAGCCATCAATCTATACTTTACTTGCAGGCGACTTAACTAGCAATTTGTCACGTTTTGAGTTATTAAGGTCTGGCAGCCCTTATGCCAGCGCAGTTTCCGCTAATAATGAATATGGATGCTGTTTATGAGAGATTCTTTCATGTTTTGGAGCCTTGTGAAAATTTCTTGCTCGCGCTTCATTATTCGCATGAAAACCTCGCCAAGAATATTCCGCCATCCGCCATATGAGGCATACCTTGGTGCCGTCAGTCTTCATTACAGGCGTCCATCCCCCATCTCCGCATCCAAAATCCCCCATTTGACAGAGAACTGTGGTCGGCTTAGAATCAAGGTCTAATGTAACCAGTTGACTAACGTTTGACCTGTTTGATACGAAAAGAAATCAATTCGTTATCACTTAAGTTTGCGGCCAAAAATCACCTTCGAGATGGAAACTATTCGATAATGTTGTCTCTTTTAATTAGCTTGAAAAGATAATTATAAAGTATCACTTACTTGAACAGATAGTGAGCCTCTTTGCAGGACCCAATAACTAAATGTAACGGGAAAAACCAAAGTCAGGTTTAAAAGTTTAATTTAGGCCCTATCACAGTTCAGTAGGGATCACAAAACTACAATTGTTGTACGTTCTATAGAATATTTAGTATCAAGCTAGGGACCGATTCTCATTCATTGCGGCCGAGGGGGATCGGAAGATTTTGTTTGTGTCGCGATAAAATTGACTTGATCCCCCCATAAAAGCTCTATAATTTTCCTATAGCCCCCCCTTGGTTGGAAGTGAATTGACGCGGGTTATTTTTTTATTGCCCCCTCCCCCCGTTTTTAAACTCTGTCCGGGACTACTTATACCCTCTGCTTTCCCCTTGAAAATTATTTGATCCCCCAAAATTCTTTCCTACCCCCCTGCAGTAAATATCGATTGGTCGCTGAGGAGCCGTAAAAATATTAGTGAAAAAAATTTCAGTGCCCCACTTCAGACTTTTCGATTTCGTAGTGAGATGTTCAATCAACTTGAGCACTAAGAGATTCAAAATCCTCATGCAGTGAATTAAATGTTGTAAAGTTACACATTTTCACTTAACACTTTTGAAAGTTTCTAAAGTGCAATATTGATGAAAAATATAATAATAATAGCAGTAATTTGAGAATTATGGTATAATTACTTTTAGTTGATGTTGCTGGTGTGCATCAGTCACAAAACCATGCAAATATTACTCACCTTTTTCACAATATTCTCCTTTAAAGCCTTTTGCACAGAGGCATCCAAATGACCCATCTCTGTAGTTTGTTACACAGGTGGCTTCGTTTTGACAAGGTGACGAAGAACAAGGGGACTGTGGAGAGACAAAGTAGGAAAATGTTTCCTGTATTTTGGAAGGCAGCTGCAAATCTATGCACATGCGGTGAACAGAAGGTACATGAATCCGCTATAGTATACTGACGAGGTAAGGTGGTAGGTGAAATGTTTCATGGTATGTCACGAGAAAGCGTATAAGTTTACACCAAATTTCTCCTACCTCAATTGCGAGATGATGCGAACTTTTATTCCCTTCATACTCTGTGGAGTTTCTGTATTTATCAGACGACAGCAACTCGCACCAAAGTCTACCGTGAGCTCCTTTGGAGGCAGCCAGGTTTACAGAAAAACACAAAGGATTGCTGAGACATTCAAACGTGCAGTCAAATTCATCAAACACTGCTGCTCTTCCAGCGAGCGGCACATTCAAGTGATGAAACTCGTGTTTAATGAATGCACGTCTCAGAAATGTTCTTGAGGAGTAGGAGGAGAAGGGGATGCCCTCGCGATACACAACGTTTGATTCTATAGCAGGAAAGAAGAACAGTGCAATAATAAAAGGATGTGATGGTACCATTCACATTTCACACTTCTCTGGAGTCGAATCCAGGGGGGGACGGAGAGAGGGGTGGAAGGAGAGAGGATGAGAGGATAAAGTGCCCCATAGAACAGTAACCCCATACCATTTAAAATAATTGATGTTTACGATAACTACGTACACTTATGAACCTTATTTGGCTCAATCCGCTACCTGTTTAGAGAGATGAGATACCATTTTGCTATGGTCAGTAGTAAATCGGCTTGCCTCTCTGTAATTGCACTAGTGCCGTGAAACAACATTGTTGAGTGGAGCTGATTAACCATATACGAGTTATCTTGTAAGCGGTTTACGGTCCTTAAATATTTTTACACAATACAATCATTTACAATCTCTTACATACTTTTAAACCCACACAAATGAAAACTTTGGCTTGCGTGGTTCAAAGTTAGTTGGATGTGAAAACAAACATACGAGATATTTTAAGTGTTTTACAAGATATCTAGCTCAGTAATAAAAATATTTTGATATTTAAAAACATCTTGAGAATTTATGGAAAGATTTATAGCTGATTCTATGACTGTGAAGTTTGCTTAGAGGCTTAAACTTGCTTGTAGATCTTATCGGCGAAACCAAGGTAAACGGTTGTTAGGAAAAATTTCAACTTTCCCATAACTTTCTGAGCTAATTGGAAGCAAATTTTTTCAGCTTCCTCGTGTTTATTTAGCAGCTATCCGTTCCAAAGTCCTGAAAGGTTGGAGAAATCTTACGACACTGTGACTTTGGTGCGTACCCTTGGAAATGAGTGAATTTCGCTATTTGAAAGGAAAACAGTCATAATTTTTCAGTAGTTCGCAGTTTTCTTAACGTTTTTGGTCTCTCTCGCCAGAAGCCTTGACTTCCCCTCCACCGCTGACGACAAATTGTTTGTTTGGTTTTCAGCTCAAGAGGTGTTTGGTAGAGTCGGCTCAATTCGGGCGACTTTTCGCAATATAAAAAAGGAAAACGGATGAAAAATTCAGTACGGTGAAAAAAGAAAATCATTTTATTGAAGACATCAAATGATCAAATCGCTAGATAGATTTTTCGCAGCCGGAATAAGACATATCGATTTTAATTAAGTCCATGGTTGGTTTGGCACCCGTTAGACTTGAATTTTAATCATCTTCAGTCATCAATATCTACCGTGTCATTTATAACGAATAAACGCGCATTTTGATTGACTTCACCGGGTTAGCGTTTCAAACGAAATTTCGCAAATTTAAAACCTCTTAAGTCGTAAACCTTTCTAGCTCTTCAGGGCTGCAATGTTTTTATTCCTTTCTGTTCCTCAGGATCAATCATTTAAGTATAAGATACTGCTGTCAAACGTTTCCTTGAGAAAGGAAGAATATCAATCAGTTATCAGCAACTCAATTTAACAAGTCTTTGATAAAAATATTTTGAGTTAACGCATGACACGATCGAAAGCTTGTCGTTAAGCTTCGCAATTTTAACCAAGTTGAAGGAAGTATAGCTGTTCTTTTAACTACACTTAGAATTTAAATTGAAGTTAAATAAAAGCTTTTTCAATCATTGTCTTAGCTGATTAGTCTTGAAAAAAATTTTTCAAAATATAGAGCTGGAGTGTTATTTGTATTCAACCAAGCTGAAGAACTAATTGGACGTATGAGCGTAATAGATCGACTTCAAAAATGCAACTGACAAGAATTAAATTTTAACAACAGGAGATATCTTACATTTACATTGACATTTTTACATTTATATAGCGCAGACTTCTATGTGGATATATTCAGTCGTGCTTTACAGTATCGTAAGGTTGAGATCGGATGTCAGCACTTTTATCAGGCGCCTCTGGCATCCGCTTCAGCCCATGTAGCGATCTCACCTTCCCACCTATCCCACCCCGGGGAGGACATCCACCACACAGTAATCTCGTGCATGGGAAATTTACGTCTCCTACCCCTAACCCTGCAAAGAGGTTAGGGGTAGGAGAGGACTTCAAGTAAACTTCGAGAGGACGTCAAGTAAACTTCGAGAGTGTGCCGTTCTAACAGCATCCCAAGACATCAATTACCGTATAAAGCAAATTGAAAAAGTCTCTGGAGAGCATTAAACACCCATCACAATCATCCATGTGAAAATAAAACAAAAAACATGGTGGAAGTCAGGGAACATCGGACTTACATCCAGACTCTGGGGTGAATTATTATGACGAAATAAATATTATCAACATTGGTGTTCTAATGCTAAAAACAATAATATGAGATGCAAACGAATCCGACAAACCTTGTGAAAAGGCTGGATCTGGAATTAGAGCAGATAATTCAAATAAAATGGGATAAAGAAGACCAAACAACATGTTGAAAGGAGGATCTTGTCGCTGATGTGAAATTTTTAGCCTTGCCTCTGATGCGACTTGTGAGCAACTGAAATGAGTGACAACGACAAATAGAATTTGAGTGGTTCCAGCTGCTTTTACTTTGCAGACGCCCACTATACTTTATTTGATGGATGTCTGGGTGCGTGCAATGAATGTGTTTACAAGACCAGAATAGAAACGAGTTAAAAATCAGGTTTGAAGCCATTTCTCCGAGCTTTAGCTGTGAGATTTTAGCGTTACAGCAAAAAGGAAATCGTTCATTTCCACTCTTCCTTTCTTTTCTTCGCTTACTTGGGAATTCATTGGTACTGTGAATTAGATCTTTTTGGTCGCATGAATGGCTGCATATGTTTACCGTCTCTAACGGCGCCACACCTCAACTTCAGCATAACGTATATTACGGCCGCGTTGAATTCCAAAATGGAAATTACAATAATTTGCGGACGCGGTTTCCGCTCTCAGACGACGCAAATTCTGATGATTTCACGTTGTTGTTTTGCATAGGACGGCTAATAAATGGACAAAGTTTTAAAATGCTCGCGCTGGCTATTGTTCTGGCTGTGGTATTGCCGTCATGGTTTGCTTCAGGTCTCTATTGAGTTTTAATAGCCCACATATTATTAAAAATTTATACCAAGAGACCCTTTTAAAAATGGCCTTTTGGTATAAATTTTTAATAAGTTGTTAAAATGAGTTCCTTTTGAGCGACGTGTCCACTCAATAATTTACCAAGAGAACTCTGAAATTGACGTACCACGTCTGTGGATATAAAAAGTGGTTACCATCTTACTACCTGAAGCTTTTTCCACAACTTAAAAATTATGATATTTTATAAACGCGAGTGAATTTCGTGATTCATGAGCCGAGTGATGTCTTAAAGAACTTGATGAATGGAGTTGACACCAAAACTTTTAACAATAAACAGATTCGGTCTAAATTCAAGATTGTTGACATTCAAATCTACTAATGACGATTTGCCAGAAGGGCTGAAATGGTCGCAAAATTACGGAAAACTTCTTTTGAAATCAATCGGTTTTAGATTCGCTTGTGGCTTGTAAATGAAAAGATCGACATATAGAAAATGTACTGAAAATT